TAAGTGGGCCCCCCCCCCACTTTCAAAAACGTTCCGCCGGCCCTGGAGAATGCACGTTGTGGCTAAACTGCACCTCTTTGTTTGCTGAAGTACTGCCGTGATTTGGAAAAAGGCATTAACTCCAAAATCTTAGTTTTGAGTTATTGAGCAAAACGCGTTTGTCGTTAGCCTTTTGTACTGGAAATGAATTATAGTAATTTTTTTGGGCAAATATACTAAACATATAATTAAAAAACATATTAAATAATTTTCATGGTGATTTTTGTTCTTTAACCCTATTTAAATGGAGATAATGCACTATTCCAAATTTTAACAGGAGTCAATGGTGCGTTAACAATCTGAAGTTAGGCATTAACTCCAGTTTTTCCAGTTAAATGTGTATCTTACGTAGCCAAATTACAGTCTTTCTGACAAACAAATAATGTATGCCAGTGTCAATTATATATTTCATGAAATTTAATCCATGTAAGTTAAAATTAATATTATAGTATAAATTTATAATCAATTTAGGAGTCGTCATTGTATTGTACACGTATAAAAATAGATAAAATTATTATTATTGTTCAAATTAAGCTGCTATCATTTTTATATTCAATCAGAATACAATGATATTGATATATGATGGTTATATTATGAAGAATGATAATAATATACTTAGTAGAACCTCTAATTTACGTCTACTAAATTTACAGACTTCTATTTTACAAACGCGAAGTTACATATTTCGAATCTTCATATATTTACGAATCATGTAAAAAGTGCCCAAATACAAAAATTATACTTTTTTAAGCTATTATTCGAAATTAAAGACAATATTCGGTGAGGTAAATGAGAGGTTCTATAAAATGGTGTGGTAGATAAATATAATCTAAATGAATCAAAGTTAGACGAGTTTTAGGTTTTCTCTTATTTGTCAACATCATTTTACCAGCATTGAAGATAATGAAATATTCTTTTCTTAATTTTTTTTGTGATTTTATTACTTTAACAGCATTGAAGATAATGAAATATTCTTTTTTTTTAATTTTTATTGTGATTTTATAACTTTTATCAGCGTTCTATTTTCTGTATTTTATTGCGATTATTGGCCTGATTTTTCACTCAATTATCTATCAAATCAGCGACATCGCCAACAGGCATGTTCCTCCAAAAGGCTTTTATATTCTCGCTCATTAGTGGTAGAAGATTTTTTAATATGCCATTTTTTTAAAACTGAAGTAAAGCTAGGCATTATGTGCATTTACAAGCTATCATGACTAATTAACTATGCGTAATTGTCTTCTGTGATTGGTTCATTATGATCTGTTCATTGTT